CCAAAAACATTGAAACGTATTGAACAGTGAACATTAAACATTAACTTATTAAAAATATTGATACCATCGCTGTGTGGTACTCTCGTCATACTAAATGTTTATTACAAGCATAGCATATAAGCAGCCGCGATATCATCCGTGTCCTCCTTCTTGTTAATTGTTTTTTCTCTTTTCTGTAATATTCGTAGGCTTTCTATAGTGAATCTCGCTTTTTCCCTCCGTTCCTTGTCTAATATTTTGACGTTGGCTAAATCAGCTGTGTGACCACTATCTTGTATGTGTTGCGCCAAAGCTGTGCTTTGCTTATTTTTCTTTATATCTGCTTCGTGCTCTGACAGACGAACGCCCAATGCTCTCTTAGTCGTTCCTATATAAACTTTGTTGCAGTTTTCGTTTTTGCTTCCTTTGCAAGTTATTTCGTATACCACGTTGCTTTGCTGCTGGGGCGGTAGTGGCGTTTTTGTTTTGGTAAAGATCGAAGAAAGTGTGCAGTTTGATCGGTACGCCAACGTTACATTAAGGTTGTTGGTGTTTATGTCATCGTTAAATTGTTGGTAAAAGCGAGGGATGTATGTGACACTATAATATCGCTTGTTGTCATTGGGTGTTTTCGTGTCCGGTACTCTCTTAATTTCGTTGTTTATTTCTGACGTTTTCTGTTTTATTAGGCTTTGTATTAAGTGGTGTGGGTAGTTGTTGCTTACCAGAATTTTGTTTATTTTCTTTATGTTCGTGTCTCTAAATTGTTGGTGACTTATCGTTAGTACTTTGTGGATTAGATTTCTAGCTGTGTTAATTTTGTATTTCAAAGGTTGCGAAGATAAGTAATTTATTAGACGCCCAGAGGAAGTAGGCTTTGAGTACCAGTCAAGAAGAATGGCGTTACTTTTTCGGTGGATCATGACATCCAAAAAAGGTATACGTAAATTGTTCTCTGATTCCATCGTGAATTGCAATTTAGGATGATATTCGTTGAGTGTTTTAAGAATTATATCCGCGTCGTTTCGTTTTATAATAGCAAATATATCGTCTACGTACTTGACAATGAACTTGATGTCAATGTTGAAATTTTCTTTGAGGCTCATAAAGGTGTTGTCTAATAAGTAATCGTAATCTAAGTTCGTTCGATGAATGATTACAATTATTTTAAATTTACAGTTTTTCTAATTACAATCTTTTGAGTAATCTTAAACGAAGTTATTCTATAAATGTGCGAAATATAAATGCGCTTAACGATAATATGAGGATAATAGGTATTTATCTAAAAACAAACAGACAAATAAAAGAAACTAATATTAAAATAAAAATAAAAAGTAAAGTCGTTTGGGCGAAATAAACTTTGTATAACCGGAAAAAAAACAACACAGGATTACAATTAAAGTAATCGTTCATCGAACGAACTTGGATTACGATTACAGTGATCGTAATTTTAACTTTTTTAAAATTACGATTACTGTAATCGTAATCTAAGTTCGTTCGATGAAGGATTACTGTAATCGTAATCTTGTTTTTTTAGCTTGTTGGGATTACTGCAATCCTAATCGTTTAGTAATCGTAATCCTTATCGCCTAGCTCTGTATCAGGGTCGCATTCGCATTCGCAACCGCGGAACCTCCGCATAAATTATGACATTCGCATTCGCTTTCGTATTCGCAATAATCAATGCGGAGCTTTTGCGAATGCGAATATTGTACAAGTGCACTGTTAAAACGTATATCTGGCAAACAAAAATTTTAGCCAATATTTTTTGCCTGTAGAGATGCTACGGTAAGACTGTCCCCTACGTCTACCCTCTTTCGTAATTTAAAGTCAAAGCGTAAGATAATAGTAGGTATTTCCAGCGGAAATGTTCAACGGCTGGCTATAAAGAGAATCGAATATTATTTGTCAAAGGTCTGTTGAATAAACTGGATGCACCTCTAGTTGTTTTCTTACTGTAATAATTTTTTCCTCATAAAACTTATTATTCTTAAGTTTCGTGTTTCGTTCTATTAGTCTTTCAGCTCGAAAACAAATCATTTATTTTAATTTTGTGTAAATTGTCAAAATTAGCACGCATCGAAATAAAGATAAAATGGTATGTAAATAAGTCGACAGCCAAGTTCACAAATTAATTAAGAATTAATTCAAGGTGAATTTTATATCTATTGAGGCGTGGGACTTGGCATGTAATATATGGTTAGTATAGTATGGAAAGGGCTTAACTCACATCGTAGCTGAAATTCAAAAAGCCGTAACTAACTAAAAATCCAAAATTAACTTTTTGATTGATGCATTTCATCGAATCATAAGTTCCCACATCGTTTTAGGCAATACAAAAATTTAGTTAGTTCTGATTTTTTGCATTTCAGCAACAATGTGTAATAAGCCCTCTTAAAATAGTATTAGCGATATATATATGTGGGAAATTTGCGCTCATTCCCCTCAAAAAATATATCAAAACACATTGAGCGCATGGAATGGAACAACAAAACAGATTTGATAGCTTATGGTACCGACAGCGGTGAGTAATTAATTGTGACTGCCTGCAACTAGGAAGCTCAAATAACTAATAAAAACAAAAAACTAATTACAAGGTATTCATTACAGGCGAACCTTTCCAAGGAGTCACCCGAGAACTAAGCAAATCTGAGACCTTTATCGTCCGTGATTCCATAATTCAAATTATTATAAAAAACGGGGTATCTTTTTAACAAAATAACAAGATTTTAAACTATTCCTGCTGGCAGCCGCGACTTTAAAAACAGAATTTTCTTCGAAATTTTCATTCCTAGAAACTAACAATTTATTTGCCATATCCACCTATTCACAACCTCGCTATAGGCGCACATTTTTCAAACCAGTCAGAGAAGACAGGGTTAAAAATGAAGTACAAAAACTAAAATCGAAAAACGCTGATGACGTAACAGGTTCTCCAAATTCTGAAACAATCAAAAGAATTGATGCTCCAGGCCATTGCCATGATGCTAGATCGTGAAGATGAAAGTCAGGAGGATACATCCGACATTTGCAGCCCCGATGCAATTCCCAAAAAGGAACTGTTGCACCGCAATAAAAAAAGAAACATAACTTAAAGTCCCCTCAACTGGTGCAGCGTCAATCGAAAAGAATTTACAATTTTGTCAAGTTTCAAGTGTGTCGCCTCGAGCGAATAGTTATTTAGTGGCGCAGGTTTGATTTACGACCCGTTAGGAATCAGGCTGTAACCCGAAAAGGCAACAAAATTACTCTTTCTTAAATACAATGTTCCAATTTTATAATTGAAGTACTAAATAAAAAAAATAAAAAATTATTACAAATTAGTAACTTTTCCATTTTTTATTTACCTAAATCACCTAATGTACTCACCAAAATTAAATATCTTAAAAATATTTGACATCCGCGTTCGCATTCGCATCCGCAGATGTTAGCTTTTAAACATCCGAATCCGCGGATGTCTAAAATTCCACATTCGCAACATCCCTACTCTGTATGGTTCTATCGATCCGCATCGTTGGTTTTTTTTTGTGTAGGTAAACGGTTAGTATTCTTAACTTGTTCCAACGACGTGATCGAGTCAGTGATGCCAACGAATTTTTAGTATGAAGAAGTTTAGTTTTACTAATAATATAACTAGAAACGCCGCTGTGGTGTAGCGGTTAACAGTCTGCGCTACCATTCCTCAGTGGCTGGGTTCAAACCCGGTTCAACCCAATATTAAGAATTAAAAAAAAAACAAAAAAGCTTTTTCTGATAGCTGTCGGGCCTCGGCAGGCAATAACAAACGTCCGAGTTTATTTGTTGCATTAAAAACAGCTTCTCATAAAAATACAATCGCCATTCGGAGTCGGCGTATAACTGTAGGTCCCTCCCCCTTTGTGTGACAACATCAAGGCGCATGCCACAGATCGCAGGAGAATCTCGGCCAAACACTAACATATGTGTAAGCGCTAATCTATTATTATTATTATGTATTATACATATTTTTAGTATAACTAGAAACTGTACAGTTAGCAACATCCTTCATCAGTAAAGGAGCCGATTTCTTATGTGGAAACGAGAAACCTGCTTTATTACAAAACCGTTAATTATTGAATCAATATATATGCATATGTAAATATGCACAAACTTAATGTGTTTGAAAATAATTTGCAACAAAACAATTCTTACCGCGTTGGTTCTCTGTGCCATTTTCAGTCTCCTTTGACGGTTTTATATTGTTAGTTTTCGGTGTTTCGAGAGGAGCTGATGGGTCACTCGTTTGTTCCTTCCGATCATTATTATTCATGATCCTTCAGTTGAAAGTTGATACCTCAAACATGATGACTCTGTAATTTTGGATAATCAATTAAGATACTATGTAAATGAAAAAATCCTAGATAAATTTTCTAAAACATTTTTGACCGTAGTCGAGTGGTTGTAAGACCCAAGATCGATTCGTGGTCTGCGCAATAATAGAAAAACGTATTCTCTAATACTAAGATCTGATAAATCTTCTCTTCTTCTTGATGCAGTTTACACTGGGCACCTTTCGTTACGGCAACTGGTAATTTGTAGAGGAGAAATCGACGAGGAAAAGAGAGAATCACTGAGTCGCCCATGCTCTGTCACCCAATTTTGTGCTCTAGTTCGCCTTAAGGGCTGCTCAAGCAGGCGAGGTGTGGTAAATATTCGAACGAGTTCCTTAATATGCACAATTACTGTATTTTGGAGCAAAAGTTGCCGTTGTGTAAACTCCGTCATTGGAACACATAGGTGACGTGCAGTGTTGCCATTTTAGCCGTTTTACGGCTAGATTTAGCCGGTTGTGATAGCAAACAGCCGGAGAAATTTCGGTTTAGCCGGAAGCGGATTTGTTAGCCGTTTTGTAAAAAAAAAATTGCGTTTTTAGCCGATTTTGCTATTTACCTTGTTTTCTTAAAATTCAAGTATATATGTTTCCATTTTTGCCTAAGAGATCCAAAATCTGTTAGAAATGGCTACTAGCCTTATCGCGGAGGCAGAGTTATATGAAATTGGGCCGATTTCGCTTATTTTTATTTTAAACGAATATATTTTTTCTTCATAAAATGTTTGTTATGAATGACTTAAATTTAAGTGTGAAGTTCTATTCGCAAACTTAGAAAATAACAAATTGATTGCTTAAAACGCGTTTGTGTTTGGATATACATACATATGTAGTGCTAAGTATAAATGTTACAGGTATTGTCTTCCCAGATAGCGCGTATTCAATTTTGCCTTAATTATAAAACATCAATGTTGCTTAAAGTTGTAAGGTAAGGGAAAAATTGATATTTTCAAGCACTATATATACATATGGATTTATTTAAACTAACTTTTTTTGCTGAGAACTTATTTAAATTCCAAAAACCGAAGGCCAACTTTAATTAAAAGAACCAACACTGAAATGCGTCAAAATGAAAGTAAAAGAACACAAATTTCTATGTAAAGCAAAACTCTCTGGGAAGACAATAGGTTTGTTCGTCGAAAATCCAGCGAAAATTATCACTCAAAATATCAATTAGTAAGAAAAATGCTCCCAAATTCTCTCTCAAGTAGAGAAACTTGAAGATTTTTGCACGAACGAAAATTTGCAGGAACTTGCAAGTTTCCCTGCCAGCTAGTGTCCACGGTTGCATTTCAAACATAAGAAATTTGTATAGAATTTTTAAAATTCTTTCAGAGGGACAAAAAACGGGATCTACATGTATATTTCTTGTTAGTCCGACTTTCTTCAACATACGTTTAAATTTTTTTGCCGTAGTAACTGTCGGGTTTCCTATATCGACTCTGGTTGAGATTGCATTCCGTGTACGTTTCAAATCATTGGAATTAACTAAATTAATTAAGTAAACAAGTATTTACTTAAATTTTTCATTTTAAAATCGCCCAAGCTTGTAAATTTTTAAATTTGACGAACCTGTTTATTCAAATTATCGTCGAAAAAAAATGCAACCATGTGCCACAATCTTATGTTTTTCCTAATTTCAAATTCTTGCTGGCAAAATTTTTTCTAGCTTGAATTTGCAACTTCTCTCCAAGAACTAGTCTTTCTACTTATGATTTCTTTAAATAAAACATGGAAAATTTAGTTGAAACAGTTTAGCCGTTTTTAGCCGTTTTTTTTTTGCCAATTTAGCCGGTTGGTCTAAAAAGTTCTGGCTACACTGGTGATGTGCAATAATGTCAGAAGAATTGCGGAAATAATGTTATTCACATTAGTTCACTTCGGAGAAGGCCAAAAAAATATTTTTTAAGATCTTGCAATTAATACACAAATGAAAAGTGAATTAATGTCAGAAATGTAAAAATTTAATAAAGTCAGAGGAAATAAGGTCACATCGATACCTGAGTGTAAGATCGACCTTTCTCGGCAGCCAGTTCGAAAACGCCCTATCTCAGAAAACTTTTCAACAATGCCCTACTTCAGAATTTGATAGAAGAACGCCCTATCTCAGAATTTTATTGAAAAATGCCCTATCTCAGAATTCGGTTGAAAAACGCCCTAGCTGAAAATACATTGAAAATATGCTGAGATAGGACGTTTTTGAATCGGCACCTGATATTGGGCGTTCTTAAACCAAATTCTGAGATAGGGCGTTTTTCAATCAAATTCTGAAATAGGGAGTTCTTCAATCGAATTATGAAGTATGGCGTTTTTGAAAAGTTTTCTGGGATAGGGCGTTTTCTAACTGGCTGCCGAGAAGAGTCGATCTTCCACTCAGGTATCGATATCTTATCATCCATATACATAATTACCTTTTCGAAAGCGCAGTAAAGTCCATGAACGTTACTGCTCTTTCAAAAAAAAATCCACTTTTCAACATACATACATATATGTATGTATGACATGTGCATAGGACACAGCTTTAAAAGTGCATAACACCACTGCGGTCCACATTCACTTTTGACCTGTGTACTAATGTCATTTACATTAATTCCCTTACAAAAGTGAATTTATGTCAATTGACATCAGTGATGGAAAAGTAGGCACAATAGTGCCATTTTTGGCACTTTCATTCTCAGAGGCACTTTTGTCACAATTCATCCTGTTTTGGCACAATCATAAGTTATAGAACCTTATACTATGTCTCTATTGAGAGATTTATCCATTAAGATTTAATAAATCCAGTTGCTAAATCACAACCGTCTCCATTACCACAACGAGGTATGTTTGACGTTCACATTTTTAAATATTTGACGTTTGCTTATGTATGATTTTATAAATACAGTTGCGGACATTGATATACAGACAGATAAAAGGAAGGTACCAAGCGGAATTTCATTATATGAATTCTGAATATTATTGGCTTCTTATTCGTGGTAAATATGTATGTATAATATATAGTTTGGAAAGTGTAAAGATAGTACCATATTCCGAATCATTTTCCCGAATTTAAGAAAAATTATCAAAACGGTAAAAAACATTCGCGGAAAGAAAAATTTTTGTAGAAAAATTTTTTTAGAACTCTCTTATTCATAGAGGAGGGAACCGAAAATCCAATCGTGGGCCTTTGGCATATCATGAATACGAACTGAGTTCTAGAGGATGTTCGGTGCAATGTTATCGAAGCAGAACCATTACCGAAATTTATAAATTTTTTGTCGCAGCGCGTAAATGACTTATAGAAAGCGGAGAAGACTCTGCATGATATTACTATAAAACATTTCTTCTAAATTTTTAGTTTTTAAAATAATATTTTCTTAATTTATTACAACCAAAGTTATGTAAATATGTATTACTAATTTTCCTCCCAAACTAACAAAAATATAAAAATCCCTAGAAATACGAAAATTCATGTTTTTATGATAGGCTAGATTTCAATGTCCTCAACTGTATATTGAAATCACAAATGTCATTTGACTTATAGCATGTGAATTTGTGGTTGCCACATCCAACAAATTGTACTTATTGATCAATATTATTGAAGATTTGACGAAGATTTAACTTAAATCTACTGCCTTTCGTGATTTAATTTTATATGGTAAATCTCAAAAGATTTGACGTCAAATCTCGTCAGAGGGCTAAATCTTCATTAAATCTCACAATGGAGACATAGTATTATCGTAATAATCCAATATATAACAAAAAATCACATACTACATTATAGATTAAAAAATTACAAAAAGTGGAAATTAAAAGCACTAAAAAATTAAAATAAGGGCCGTGAGTATATTGTGTCGCAGCTCTTGACAAAAAAAAAGGAAGTTTCCGCAACAACATATGTACATATATCCTGTTTGTTAAATTATGAGTTGGACTTTTATATAAAATCAATAAAAAATTAATCAATTGGTGAAACTGGTCAAAATGTATCACTGCCATTATTTCGTATATAGGTAGATATACATATGTGTAAACACGTAAGAATAGCTATATTTCGATGTAAATATTTCCCCTTCCTAATTAGAATACTGTGTTATCTTGCTATGAATTTATGTATATATGTATGTCTAAGGAATAATTCATCAAAATGACTTACTGCAATAACTTGGTTAATTAATAAATATTATATTACCTCAGTGTATTTTAAAAATAATATTTCTTAAAAGGCCTTAAAAGACAGAAATTTTAATTTTGTGGCACTTTCATCTTCTTTATTATTTTTAAAGACCATTAGGCACATTTTCAAATTCCATCCCGGATTGACATTAATTCCATTGGCATTAGTTGTGCTTTCGTTTTCTCCATCAAAAAATATCCAGTAACTTGCCAGTAACCGAAATATATGCAAGAAAACACCTATATGTAGGTACATATAATATAACACTGTAGCAGACCGATGTCTGTACATTATAGATATGAAAGAAATTTAATATTCGGGGTCTTTATTAGAGCTAAAGAAGCCAAGTCAACAATTTTAACTTAAGCATGGAACTGAATAAAGTTTTCACCTGTGCATAGCTAAAGCCCTGTATGCAGCTCTCAAGAAAACGGTCAAGAAAAAATTGCCATTATTTCGCGTGTGTGTCCAAGGAATTTTGACATTTTTGATACTTCATAGCCTGTTGCCTCACTCTTTCCTCAAGAAATAATGGAACGGGCATATATTTCTGTTGCAAACCTGAGTTGCCTTGTGCTCTTTTTTCACAAAAAAACTTTAGAAAACAGTAGTAGAAAGCGTAGTAAATTTCTTAAGAACTGCGTACTGCCTTAAGGAAATTTGACTCAAGAAAATTTCTTAGCCATTTCTTGTACGTCATTTTATATTTTTATATAAAGGTCTTACCTATAATATAGAAAGAAAAGAATTATGTACATGTTTAAAAATTGCAGTTTAAGTAAATTGACAGGATAAAGTAAATATTGCAATATGGCTGCCAAAAG